TAATTGTGTATGCGTGAATACGGAACATTTAAATCAAGCTTGTACGCTAAATGTTTAATAATATTATGGTATGATTTATAATGCACTCAACCTGTGACCAATCCACACCTGACAATATTGACAGCGTCTATTGCTTAGCACCTGGACAACTGATTTTTTCTGTTTTTAAATAACGCACCGCTCTGTTGAGCAATTTTCATCCTTAACAGCACAGTTGCGTTTGCAAGCAGTTTCCCTCAAAATTTAGGCGCAAAATGTAACCGTTTTTCATGTGATAGACACTTATGTGTTTTGTTGGAAGAACAAAGTAGTATTGTTAATGTTTTAAGGAAATTGGAAAATTCCCAGCAGTGTTTCTGGCCAGTAACTTTCGTTAAACTCCTACTAATTCTCTGACGTACTCAGCACATTAACCGTACGAAATATTGTGTGTACATTAAGTTAATAATTATGGGGATCGACATTATTTTTAATTAACCGCACATTTTCATTATGGGATTCATTTTAATTCGGTTTTTACGGTGAACATATTTCTGCACCGTGATTAAATGTCTCAAGTAAGCGCAAATCAGTGCAACTGAAATTCGAGAACGGCCATGTGAATTTTTGTGTATTACTTTATTTGCCTAGACCAATATTTACTCGCAGGAAGCGGTGAATAAATTAGAATCATCTCACGTTAGATAAAAGTTTTATATATTAACTATGAATTATTTGCGTTTTGGTGGCTTATGGAAACACTTTTGCTGGGTTCCTTTTAATCCTTAAATTCGATTCAATGTTCCGGCAGCACAGAGCAATTGATTCAACCGAAGTAATTTGTAACAAAATACTTGAGATACAGGACATTGTGTACTGAGTCCTTCTTATGCAAAATACCATGTTTACTATTATTTTTCAAACCAATTGTAAATATATTCAAACTTATTTGCATTAGAGGTATTCAAATAACCACTATTACAGGTAAAAAGGAAAGGCTTAGCTAGACATGCGTCCTTGTAATTTTGCATAACTTTGCCAATATTTCTCTCAAGTAATCTATGTAAAATACTAGTTCAAATTGCTTTCGCGTGATGCGCTATAGCAGTATGATGTGCAATGTTTTATTTTACCATCAAATTTTTATTAGGTTCCGCTCGTTTCAAATTATTAATGCTTGTAAACCGTCAATGAATTGTTTGAAGGAACCAAGGTCTATTAAGTGCTAATGCCAATTTTACTAACAGGAGACTAGCTTATGTAGAATGCAGACAAGGGAGAACCACAAGGATTGAGACGTAAGTTCTATTACGCAACACGTAGGCTCTATAAGAAAGAATCAGTAACGTA